CAAAGAAGTGGAGAGAATGAAAGATATATGAAAAAAATCGAAATAAAATTTACATTTCTTAAGATAAAAATAATAATATGGGAGGAAGAAAAGATTATCTTTGATATTAATTACGTGGCGCGAATGTGTATACGTCGCAATACGAAAAATAATTTCATGCCTACGAATGCTACCTGCTATCAATCGTATTATAAATAAAAAAAAAAAAAAAACTCACAAGAATTATCTTATTATTTTTATCAATCCCAATTCACGAGAATAAATCCCAAATTTATAATAAATCTCGAAATCCAATAAATTTAAAAGCTTTTCTCCCAACGACAATGCAAACTCTCTCGTATCTACATATAAGAGATGAAATCCGAGTTTAAAGCCATCCCAAACAACTCGCGATCCCTTTTAACCGTCATTTCTTACTTCGTCGCAATCTCTCGCGCATCAGGTATAATCAAAAGTCGTGGGCAAGGAAATTAGAAAGGCGGCGAAGTTCGAGGGAATAGTCTGCGGTGCGTAGAAAGTGGTGTTGCGGTGGACACCTCTGTTCCATCTCTTGTTTCCGGTGGCGAGGGCCACCCGCGCGCGTACAAACCGCCTTTTCCATTCCCTTGCGAATGGAAAGTGCTCGCCAGTCGCGGGTGCAATTAACTGCAGCACGGACAAGCGCGCACCGAGAACTCTTGCTCGTAATTCGTAAGGTATTTCGTGTGGTTAGACTTGGTAACTTTGGCGCGTGACACCTGCCGCGCGTAATCAACCTGCCGAATTAACTAGGTTTCTCTCGATCGTACTAACCGTGCCTTTACGTGCATTCCTTTTGCAACTGTGCTGCTAGTCAGCCATATTGTTTCAATTTGACGCCATGTTCGACGTCACGTTCATGCCTAATCGAAATGGGAAAGATCACTTTCCTTTCCGTTTAGCTATTATATACTTACGATCGTTTATCTCATAATAAATATAAATAAAACGAAATTCTACGAATATACGAGCGAAATTAATTCACAACGATGCAAATATAAACGTAATTTACGAACAATTACGTAATTACGTAATTACGCAATTACGCATTTACGCATTTAGATTAAATCTAATATGATTTTGACGTAATTCAAGCCAGATAATGTAATAGAAATACAAATAATATCAATACTTTCGATTATTTTTTCGAAAATAACACTACAATTGTATTCTTTACGAGAAATTATTCAAAATATTCATCTTAAAAACGATACGACGTATATTAACGTATATCGACGCCATGTTGAAATGAATTCTATTTCAAATATTGTACTCACTCGTAACAGCATCCGCATACGAGCAGGATAAGCAGATATTTAAGGAATTCAGTTGAGCGAAGAAGAAATGACAATCAGCGAAAGACACTTGAACAAAAATAAAATATATACGCATCAAATAACAATTCAAAATCAACTTTGCACTTCACAAGACACCAATTAGCGAGGATCAAACGCACTCACGACGAAAGACTGAGATCCTCTTGCGGTCACTTTCGTAATTATTTTTTTGTTTCTCTTTGTCTCCTGTAGGAGGCTCATGTAACAGTTTTCGTCGATACTTCGGTCGAACGTTTCGACGATTTACGGTCTGTATCAAATTGTGTAAATTAAAATGTGAAAAAGTGATTTGTGATAAAATAATACACATAAATGTTTGGTAGATCATATTGAAATCGATAAGAGATATTTTAATTAGGGATTTTACTTCGAATCGGGAATATTCGAACTTTCGATGTGAACGTTCGAAAAAATTACGATGCAATTACGCAATTTCGAATACCGAAGATTTCACATTAAAAATCGTTTCGTATATTAAAATAGACATTCGTTAGTGAAGGATATTCCTGCGCAGAGTGAAATATATTTGAAGTTTTTATAGATTTTATTAGAAGAAAGTTTCAATCTTTTATAGACGAAAGCAATCAAATATGTTTCATTCTGCGCAGAAGAAAGAAATTTCAATATGGCGGAAAAACGACCTTTTTCGTGACCAATATGGCCTAGATCCATTCTGGTAAGTGTATACAAAATTAAGCAAAATTATTTATAAAATATCCATATCTAATAATCACAATACTAATAAATAAAAACGATAAAGTCAATTTACTATCGATATAATTCAATTCTATAAAAAAATATAAAAAGAACGAAAATTCAAAGCCGATCAAATTTAGAATAAAGAAAATAAATTTTTCTACGATTTAAATCGATCGAAATATTTTAGTATTTGCATTGTTATTCAAAATATTATATAGAATTATCGATCAAGGAAAATTATTTCGCATTCTTTGCAAATATCTTTCTCTTAACATTTACATATATATTTCGATATTTTTTTCGATTCGATAAAAAAGTTAGACATCGACTTTTGAAATTCGAAATCTACAGTGAGATTGAATAGTTCAATGAATGAAGTCTGGTATAAGTGAATGCACTGACTGATTGGAACGACCGACGACGAATTTTATCTTATTTTATTTTGCTCGGATGTCTTGATTGGATTGCTCATCGCGTCTTTCTTTTTTTATCGATTCTGAGCAAAAATGAAATAATATAGATAGTTAATCAGATCGAAAAGACTATCCCTCAAAATAGATTACGAATAATAAAATTTAAACAAAGAAATATATAGAAGAACGAAAATCCAAATTTTAATCAAGCTCGCGAAAATTTATGAAATTTTCGAGAAAAGGATTGAAGAAATTTCCGATAAAATCTCTAAAATTTGTCGCTTATTTGATCGGCTTATTATTTCGTAAATAGAAAAATTTGTATAAAGATTACGTAATATCATTCGTTAAACACTTACCAAAATTAAATTAAATATCTTTGACGCGATATCATTATCGGCAAGACCAATCATCGCGTTTAAACATGTAACGTATACGCGAGGAATACAAGCAGAAATGTAACAAGAGCAAGAGCAACAAGTGCTCAAGACGTAATTACCCCTCAACTTCGCTTTAGAGACCGTTACCCGGTTTAACAAATCTGCGTCCTGTAGAAACAGCAAAATAAATCGTCAAACTTCCGCTGGGGATTCGAAGGAACTCGTTAAATTCCTCTTCCTAATCCGCCCTGTTACCGAAAAAGGGGGAAAACGTTCAAAGACGCGTTCTCGTCCAAATGTAAATTTAATTTCGACCGACTTAAAGCAAATCGAGACGAAAAACTCCCTACGAAATCTTATTCATCGAGTCTTTTTCCTTTTTCTCTCGTACTTTCTAAAAAAAAAAAAAAAATATCGTATCGAAATTAACGCGAGTTTCGACGAGCCTTGATCACACTATATGTTCGAATAGACGAAAACTTAGAAAGTAATCGCTACGTACGAAATAATTTATCGAATCTTTTTGTCCTTGATCTTCTTCCTTTCTTCCTCTTTCTCTCGGATATTCAAAAACGCAAAAACGCGATTATAGATAGAATCATCGATACACATGAAATAGATACATATACATATAGAGAATCGTATCGGAATTAATTCGATCATTGATCTTTCGCTCTAGTCTTCCGATAAAAAAAAAAAAATAAAATCTAACTAAAATCTAAATTTTAAGAGAAAACGTTACGTACGAAATTATCCATCGAGTCTTCTTTTCATTCTTGATTCTCCTTCTCACGTTTCCATTCCAATAGAAGACGCAATGGAAGAAATACGTTTCGCCGATGCACCAAAATTCGCGCGATATAGAGTCGAGATCGAAAACTGGCGCGCGTGTTTGATCGTTGGCGAACGTTGGTCTCGCGCTATGTCCGGGCTGGAGAGAGTAAAAAAGAAAAAAAAGAGAAAAAGTATAACGAGGGGTGAAGTAACTAGAGGGAAAAAAAGGGGGAAAAAGGAAAGGAAGAAGAGGGAGGGAAAGGAAGACGGAAAG